GAAGACTGCTGCAGAGGTAACATCTATGCCAATTCTCCTCTATTTTGTATGTGGGATGCTGCCACAGTGTGGCTTGATAAGTGGTGTGTAAGTCGGTGCTCAGGATCCAAACCCCTGAACCCTGGGCCACCAAAGCAGAGCACATGAACTTAACCACTATATCACAAGCCAGGCCCCGCACTCGTGTTTTATTATTTCCTTAGGGTAGATCCCCAAACATGCAATTTCTAGGTCAAGGTTTAAGCCTATTTTCAGGCTCTTCATGGCCGCTTGAAGGCCTGGTGTCTAATTCCAGCCCTATCACCAAACTGCTCTGTGGTCCAAGGCAAATCACCTCTCTGGGCCACAGTCCCCACATGTGAAAAGAAATGGACGGAGTACTCCAACACCGGGGGACAGATTAGCAAAGAATAACCAATAACAGGATTTAACTCCTGGAAGCTACACAGACAAAATAGACTGAAAGGCACCGCCTGACTCGCTGTGTGCCCGCACCTTGCCCGGCACATGTGGTCTCTCTCAAACTCGTTTTCATGCTGATTTAGCATAACGGCCGCTGCATGAAAGTCCGTGATCTGCTCCAGATGAAAAGAATTAGTAACGGATCCCTCAAAGCTGAGGGGAGGTCAACAGGTGAGAGATCAGAACGCCAGGCTCTGCCTCCCCTCTCACCCGCCTCCTGGGGGAATGCGGCCCCGCTCTGGCTGCTGGAGGAGGGCGGGCTCCCGAGTATGATGGTACCAGGGGACCCCACAAAGCCCCCAACACAGCCCCGAGGCCCAGGGGTGATCTCCTGAACTAAGTGGGCCAATCAGGTCGTTTCCCCAGACATCTGGAGTTGGGATCTGAGACACTGGGGGGATCTGAGCTCCAGAGGTGCAGGAAGTAGCAGGGAGTCAGCACTGCGGCTAACCAAAGTCGTGGTGGAACTGAGACGTCGCCGAGGAGCCCAGGACACTGGTTTGCAAGGAGGAGAAGGACAATAAGGTAGATATTTAGAAAGAACTAGAAATGCCCTTCACATCTCAGTCTTGGTCCTAGCTGTGCCTCACTTCCTGCCTTGGGGAGTCCCGGAGTCTGCTGGTTGTGCCCTTACAATATCCCACCCTGTGCTTCCCGTCACCTGCCTGTGGGGGTTTCTGTTCCTGGAACCAAGAGTGCCCAAGTGCTCCTTGGACAGGTCAACTGGGAGAGTTAACAGAGATGTTCTGGAATGACAGATGCTCAGGTCAATCGATTAGGGGTGGAGGTGGGGCAAAGGATATTAGCAAATAAGTCTTTAAGCACTTGCTCTTGTATCTCTCCCTAAAATCATCACCAAGATGAAAAACTCAGCGAGCCCAGACACCAGGCACAAACAACCAGGTGAATAAAAAGCCCTGTTTAATCATCTCCCCCAGAACGGGTCCTTTTCGAATGGCCTGAATTGGAAGGACACCAGGTTGCACTGGCCCCAGTCATGAACTCAAGTCCTAGGCTGACCTAAGCAGGGGCACGCTGCACGGGAGTCCTCCTCAAAGTCCTGCCGGCTCACCCATCTGTGCTTATAGATGAGCTTAGGAGATCTCAAGAGGAGAGCTAAAGAAAAGAACCTCCCTTCACCTGGGTGCGGCCACACTCCTGGATGAGAAACCTCTCCTGCCAAGTTAGGGACCCAATGCCTGGAAAGAAAAGGCAGTAAGTGTTCGGGAAAGGTTCTGGCTCTAGAGCCTGGAAAATTCCCCAACGGGCTACAAGCCTTCCATCAGGAGGGGCCTTCTTCTGGAAGCCACTCTGTTGACCGCTGACTGCTCCCCTCCCCAAGGCAGCCAGCCCAAGGTCGCTGGGGTGAGAACATCCAATGTTTCTGGAGGCCACTGTCCCCCCAAGGCTCCCCGCCCCACAGGGCGCCAAGAGCAGGAGTCAGGCAGACTCCTGTCTTCTTCAATGGCTCTGCCATTCCTTGAATGGAGTTCCGCGTGCCAGCCTTTGGCTACAGACCCCAGTTATTTAATATTCCTTAAAGCATAGAAGTCCTTTTCTCCAGGACTCCTGTTAAATTATGAGCCATGAAGAGCGCTGGGTGGGGAGTCCAAAGGGGCATCAGTACTGACCCTGAGGAGGTCACTTCACCTCTCCAACCTTGACTTTCATTTTAACTCCCATCAGTAGTAAAATCGGGAGACACCGCCTGCCTCACAGGGTCACAGGCATCAGACGAGACAGCGCACACAGGAGCGCCAGCCCCACTGCAGGGCCGTTCAGTCACCCACGTTGTCATGGACACAACGAACATCTGTTGCGGGCCAACCGCGGGCCTGGATGCTTTATGTACACAATCTCATTTCAGCCTCATGATAGCCCAACAGTGTACAGGGAAGAAAAAGAGGCTCTGAGAAGTCAGACCAGCCAGAGTGGGACCCTGAAAAACCCAGGACCACCTGACTCTTGATTTTCTACTCCTCCAGGATACTTCCGATTGCACTAGGGATCCAAGCTCCTCAGACACAGGCCAGGAAGGCAGCCAAGCTGGCTCCACACTGTCACTGCTCTCAAGAGGGAGCCCAGGGACATGGGGGCACCAGTGCTGCTGGCGGAAGGTACACTTAAGTGCTGGAGGGAGACAGAGACCCCTGTAGAGCTGATCTCTCCCCTTCAGGCCCCAGAGCTGGTGGAAGGCTATGGCAAAAGATGTCAGCCCCCAAAAAAGCGAACAGGGCTGGAGGTGACCTCAAGCAAAAGGCTGGAGGTTGTGCATTTAGATTCACATGAGGGTCTTGGACATTTTAAAATAAATGACAGATGGAAACAACCAAAGTGTCCATCCATAGATAAAGAAGATAAAGAATGGAGTACTACTCAGCCATGACAGAGAAGGAAATCCCACCATTTGTGAAAACATGGATGGATCTAGAGGGCATTAAGCTAAGTGAAGTAAGCCAAACAAAGAAAGACAAACGCTGCATGGTGTCACTTGTACGTGCAATCTAAAAAAAAAATCAAACTCATAGAAACAGAGAGTGGAAAAGTGGCTGCCAAGAACTGGGGGCTGGGGGAAAGGCTGGTAAAGGGCACAAACTTTCAGCTATAAGATGAGTAAGGTCTGAGGATCTGATGTATAACATGCTGACCGAAGTTGATAAGACTGTATTGTATAATGGAAATTTGCTAAGAGAGTAGAACTTAAATGTTCTCACCAAGAAAAAAGATAAATATACAAGGTGATGGATGTGTTAATTACCCCGATAGAGGGATCCATTCACAATGTATATGTTTATCAGTTCACCACAATGCACACTTTAAATATCTTCCAATTTTATTTGTCAATTATACCTCAATAAAACTGAAATTTAAAAATAAACACATAAATTTTAATAACATAAAATAAATGAGGGAGGGTCAAAGCGGGCATCCAGAGCTTGAAGGCAGCCGTCCACTGCACCCACGCTCTGAGCCCTGGGTACTGGAGGGCAGAGGATCAACACAGCCAAGGGGAAGGGAACTCGAGCAGGTCAATACTGCAGGGAGAGGGCGGGCAAGAGCTTGAAAGGCTCAGAGGGCTTAGGAGAAGGAAAAGAAAAGGACAGAAGGAAACCAAGAGAGATGTTCAGGATGAATTTGCGCCTGGCACCAAATGACGGGTGGGTTACAGGGGACTGAAGGAGAAGGCCCAGCTCCAGCCAAAGGTGGCAAAGGCCAGCAGGAGGGAACGTCACTGAGAGTCACTGCAGAGAGGCCTCCAGGCCAGGAGGAGGACAAAAATTAGAGTTCCACCTTAAAGACAAAAACTTGACAGCAGGATCCACACAAATCCTGGAGCGGCCTGGGACCCCTGGGCTAACCAAGAGGTCTGGAAATCACGGCAGAGGTGGAAAGAACTGGCCCTGTTTAATCAGAGGGGAAGAGATCAAGCTCCAGACGCCAGGAGGCCGCAGGCAGGCCCCTCAGCACTCAGGCAGCCCCGGGTGCCGTCTCCCTCCGTGCCCCCACCCCTCCGTCTTACCCGCACCTCCACCTAGGTGCTGTCCTCTGAGCTTCTTTAGGGGAGAACCAGCCCCAGAGGCTCACACAGCGCTTTGCTGGGCCCGCAGAAGGTCCCAACCAACGGTTTTCAGGTTGTTAATGACAACCAAACCTCCCTCCCAACTCAAAATTCAAAAATCAGACAGCCCTTCAAAAATCTAACAAGAGGACATGGTTCTTCTAGGGCCTTACAGAAAGCAGAGCTAGAAAATCATAAATCATTAAAAAGCAGACTTAGAGCTCAAAGTTAAGAAAATGTTTCTAACATGCAGATCTGTCCAATAATGGAGCTGATTAGCCGGGGAGGTGGTGAACTCCCCACCACTAGAGGTAGCCAAGCAAAGACTGAAGGACCATATGCCAAGGAGCTGCAGGAGAGATTCCTTAGATAATCTCTAAGGTCCTGTCCAACCCAAGATCCCACAAGATGAAATATACAGTGGAACAATTACAGACACATTTGGTAAATCGCTGAGCAGCAGAATTGGCCACTACCCTTTAAACATGAAAGAAGTACATTTACAGCAAATCAAAGTGTGACTTTATGCCACGGTGAATAAGCTTACAGACCTCGTTACTCCAAACTGAAAATAGAAGCAGTTTGAGAAGGGCTTAGCTGAATGAGTAAATACTCGACCCCAGACGAGTTCCCAAAGGCAGCGAGAGAGGCCTCAGAACAGTCCTCCCCTAAAGTCCGGCAACACGGTAACAAGCACCCCCCTCCAACCCCAGAACGTCCTCACACCAGGACTGTCAGAGGCAGTGCAGGGAGCTGGATGAACTGTGGATTCTGTCAAGCGCTTGCCGTGGAGAAATGCCCCACACAGCTCCCTCCTACAGAAAGGGCCTGGCCTTTGACCTCCTGAACGATTCCTGCCAGGTGAGCAGCATGGGAGTCACGGTCAGAGGAAAGTCCAGGCCCCAGTGACCAAACACACCCCTCTCACAGGGTGAGGATAGGACCACAGGGAGCTTCCTGGGCAGGGAGCATCACTCACAGCCTCGACAGAGCCTGGTTATTCTGGAACAGCAGCTCTGGTAACGTGTGCAGCAGGTTCCGGTTCAGTCGTCTGAAAAAGAGAAGAGAGGAAGAGTTGGAAATCGCCCAGCTATCCAGGAGATCAACAGACTTTTTAGAAAGCACTGGATTCAGCGTCAGAGGGCCTGGGGTTCAAATCCTAACAGGGTCACTCTGTAACCCCAGGGAAATCACCTTCTCTGGGCCTCAGTTTCTTCATCTATAAAGTGGGAATTTTGCCATCTAACACTTGGGAAGGATAAGAACAGAATATCTGTGAAAGCCCCTCCCTGAGGACCTGATGTGCACTGGGCAGTCAGTAAACAGAGGGTCTTTCCTTCCCTCATCTCCTCCCACACCCATTGTCATCAGCACTTTACATGTGCAGACCCTTAATAATACATAAGGCACTGATTCAAATGTCTCAGTTTGTGAAATATACTCCATCGCTGTAAGTTCTGATTCTTCACTGCTTTCATCCACATTTGGCTCAGTGGCAACTTACTTTTTTTATTGTTTGCTTTAGGTCTTTTTTCAAAATGAAAATAGTTCTATTGATTTTTTTTATTATTGATGAAAATGCATGCTTAGTAAAAAAAAAAAGCCTCAAATAATAGAAGAATATGTATTCAGCTACCTGCATTGTTCTCAGTCAACAATTTGTGGATGTCCTTCCATGCCAAACAAGAGAGAACGACCCTTTTATTTTTAATGACTGAATAGTACATGTGTCTTTTGTTTTGTTTTGTTTTTGCTGAGGAAGATTCATCCTGAGCTAACATCTGTTGCCACTCTTCTTCTTATTGCTTGAGGAAGATTCACCCTGAGCTAACATCCATGCCAATCCTCCTCTATTTTGTATGTGGGTTACCACCACAGCATGGCCACCAACAAGTGGCATAGGTCCTCACCTGGGAACTGAAACTGGGCCACCAAAGCTGAGCACACTGAACTTAACCACCTGGCCACAGGGCCGGCCTCTGTCATTTTTAATTCCTCTACTGATGGACAGATAACGTTTCAGTACTATAAACACAGGCAGGAGTGGGAAGTCTGGTTCTGGAATGTGGCCTGACAAGGAGACAACAAGGGAAGGACTTGGACTTGTCCTAGGAAGGCAGCGAAGTGTAACCAGACTCAGCTTGCCACCTGAGGCCACCAACTCTCTGACACTGGAGTGTAGGGCTCCAGCCCATCAGGGGATGTGAACTAATAAAGTGTGGAAGCTTGGCACCCACACGGTGTCCGTGACCACCTGCAGGGGCATCACCTGGAAGTTGGTAAGAGCTGCAATATTGCAGGCTCTACCCCAGACCTGGCACAGAACCTGCGCTTCAACAAGGGTCCCCGGAGGACCTGTGCACCTCAAGGTGGGAGAAGCACCGGTGTAAAATGCAGCCCCTGGTCTCCGGTCCACAGCACAGTTTGAGCTTCACACAAGGATCTCCTTTAATGGTTCTAGACAACGATAAACCAGCTCGGCAAATGCTTTCCTTTGCAGGGGAAGGGAGGAAACATAATTCTATGTGGCCAGCAGTAACCGGCCTGTGGTTCCCTCCTGGAGGTCGCCTTCGCTGATATGTCAGAAAGGTTCCCTTCTCTAGCGCGGTGCAGACAGTCAGAGCTGCAACTCTAGACCAGCTGGGAGAAGTTCACTCCAAAGGGCGGGCTCTGGGGCAATGCACTGTTGCCTCCGAATAACAGGGGCCACCAATACAATCCTTCAAGCCACAGGAGCGGACGCAAGATCGCTCCAAGTCCCTAACCTCATCCAGTACCTCAAGGCTGTATTTACACTGCCTGGTAATCATTGGTTTGGGTTCTGTTTTGTTTTCCCCCCCAGACTTTCTCAATTTTCCAGCTTCAACTTCTGAAAAACTCTTAAGAGGAAAAAGGAGTTGATAGCAATTTTAAAGTGGAAAACCACAGGACAGCGAAGGAGGGACCCAGCACGGTGAGGGACCTGCAGGCGGCTAGGAGGAGGAGCAGTAGCGGCTAGCAGTCCCTGTTAGCCTTACCAGGGGCCAGGTGCCAGGATACCTCACCATCGGAGGGAAGCAGAAGGAAAAGGCTAGTTTCTTTCTCTTGGGCCTGACAACAAGGCCTTGCATCCACGCACACCCCCTCCCATCTCCTCCTGGCAACAAGCCCACAGGGAAGCTTTACCACCACCATCCTACACACGGCTTGGCTCGGGATACGTGTGTTGACTTTGTGGGGTTGTCGCTTTGATAGTTGAGGGAACTGGGATGCCTACAGGTGAGCAACTCACCCAAGTCACTGCCAGGTGATAGAGGCGGGCTTGGGAAGCCTGCCTTGCCCGACTCCCCATCCTGGCTGCCTCCACGCGACACATCGACCCCCACTCCACCAGCCCAGGGTGACTGAGTGCTCCACTCCCTCCCGATATCAGACCGACTGACACCCAGGGCACGCCAGTCCTCACAGCCGGCAAGACGGCACACTTCTGCTTCTGCCCTCGTTTGCAACTGCTTACAAGAACCAGTTAAGTCTGTTCCCAAACCGGTTTATGCCAGAGGTACTTATAATTATAATTATATAATGTAATTAACTATTACAGAAATGAACGAAACATGTGTGAAAAGAGAGAGTCGTCTCTTTGAAAACTAAGTTGAATGTTTTGGAAAGGGTCCATTAAAAAAAACTGGTGGAGGGGCCGGCCCCGTGGCTGAGCGGTTAAGTTCGCCCACTCCGCTTCAGCGGCCCAGGGTTTCAGTGGTTCAGATCCTGGGCGCGGACATGGCACCGCTCGTCAGGCCACGTTGAGATGGCCTCCCACATGCCACAACTAGAAGGACCCACAACTAAAATATACAACTATATACCGGGGGGCTTTGGGGGAAAAAGGCAGAAAAAAACAAAGATTGGCAACAGTTGTTAGCTTAGGAGCCAATCTTAAAAAACAAATTTCAAAAAATTTAAAAATTTTTCAAAAGCTGGTAAGTAAAGAGCCATTGGATTAAATAAGACTGGAGCACAGGAGGGTCATGAAAGAAATTCAGAATTCTCCACCCAGATTGCTTCCAAGGGCCTTTCAAAATCTCCCTCCACCCTACAGAAAACAAAACCAAGAATCATAGACAAAGTATGCGTGCGGTTTAGGCAAGGACAAAAAACAGGACTCCAAGCAGCATCTCATACCAAAAAGCTAGCCCTTGGCAAAACAAAAAGGGATGGGGAGGGGAGAGAGAAGATCAACAAACACATGTTTATATATTTTAACTTAAGATGAAATGTTTAGGGTACATATGGTGTTTATGACTCCCCACTGTATCCAACTTTTACGATTAACTGATCCACCCCTGGCTCTGACCAGCCAGAGGAGAGTGTGCTGGCCATCCACAGCGAGCAGCAGACGCCCCCAGGGACAGAGCAGTCCCACGCCCCAAAAATAACTGCCCCCTGTGAAGTTGCTGGTGACCCACCCCGGAAGAAAGAAACTGGAAAAGAGACAGACTGGAGAAGGGACAAAGTCTGCAGGGACAAGGAGTGACTCAAAACAGAGGGCCCTGCCCCGCCTTGGCTGGCAGCAGCAGGTGTGACGGGGGCCACCTGGGTCTGGGTGGTGTCTAGACCCCCACCCAGCTCTTCTCCTCCCCCAGGGCATGGCAGCACCAGAGCAGGAGTGGGAATGGGTTGGATCCACATTGGCCTCTCAAAGCCAGGTCATGAATATGTATTTTGTTCTGAGCCTTTTAAAGAAAACAAACAAGACTAATGGGGCCCCTCATCGCTCCATTTTAGGCCTGGATGGGGAATGCCAAAGAAAGATCACCTTGATTTTCCTCCAGGCTGCAGGAAGGCAATGAGACAACCACATTCTTTCCCTTTTATTTAATACCTTATTTTCTTTGATATAACAGAGAAACGTGAAGTATTAAGTCATAGTCATTAAAAGCTCAGGCTGTGGAGGCAAAATGATTCAGGCTCTAATCCCCTCTTCTGCACTTAATCACTTAATAATCACTTAATAAGGCAAGTGCCTTAACTTCTGTCCACCTCCGCTTCTCCTCTGGAAGATATCACTGACCATAGTGTTGCTTTAAGGAGTAAATGAGATATTGGCGGGCAGAGAGCTTATCTCAGTGCCCAGCAGAGTAAGGCAGTCAATAGAAACTATAATCATGATTACAAACTCGCTGTAAGAAAATCTACAAAAATGAAAAGCACAAAGAATAAAATTAAAGTTACCTATTATCCCACCACTCAATGTAATGAGAGTTAGTATTCTCAGTTATTTTTCTCCCCCTGTATTCTGTACACATATCAGTCGACTTTATTTACACAAATGTCACTTCCTGCCTTTTCCACTTATTACATTATGAGCACATTCCCATGGCCTTAATTGTTCATCAAAAATGTGATTTTATATCTTATGTCTCCATCAGAATGGCTGTTTCCAACTTTATTGTATTTAAATAATGTGCAATGAATATCCTGATATATAAATTTTTAGCCATGTCTCTGATTATTTCCTTAAAATAAAATGGACTTCCTGGTTCGAAGGGCATGAACTTTAGGAGTCTTGACACCTACAGCCAAACCAAAGCAGAGAAATGAGATTAGTGACCACGGTGAATGTGAGTGTCCAGCCCCACCTCATTTAAACCTCATTCCTCTTTTTTTCATTATTGCCAATCTGTAATGCAAAAATTGACCAAGATCTATTTTCAAACTCGAAAGCCCTGTAAGGAACAAACCATACAAACCATGCAAATCAGAAACATGCCACCACTTTAAGGCCTGGATGTGCTGTGGCCCCGGCCACCCAAGACAGGCCTCTGCTGGGGCGTCCCTGACGGTCCCCTCGGAACGCCAGTGCTTCTTTTGAGGCCACACAAATCGATGCATAGTGGTTACGCCTGGGGTATGAGATTATAGGAGGAAATTTCACTTCCTCTGTTCTGTGTGGATTTTTTGCCATAATGTATTTTCAGGGGAAAACAACAAAGACAGCTGCATTTAGAATGTGGGGGGAGGACACTCTCCAGCTTCCTCTTCGCCATCATCCCACGATGACTCTGTGACCGATTCCAGGGCCACAGCTGCCCCTGGCTGCCATCAGTGGGCAGGAGGCAGGCTGGGCATGCAGGCCTGTCCCTGAGCAGCCCCTCCTTGATGTCCCCTCAGCATGAGCCCCCACCGCCCTCCTGAGCCTGCACCTATGGATACTCACAGCCGCTCCAGCTCCTTCATGTCGTCGAAAGCCCCTCGTTCCACCACTCCAATCTGGTTCTCCATCAGCTGCCTGGGGAAGCAAAGAGACGAGGACAGCTACAGGATGTTGGACAAGGACTCGTAGAAACAGCTGGCACGGGGGAGTGAAACAGGAGCAGTGCCAGAGAGGCACACAGACCCACGTCCTGGCCTGAGCCAACAAAATTTTCTTGCAACTTTGCAAATTTCCTGGCATGGACTCCACAGCACACCCAGCCCAACAGTAAGATGCGCTTCTGGCCCCAGCCCCATTCTGACCCGTCTGAAGCCGCCTGCATGGCAGAAGGCCAGGGGGCACCAGAGCACCAGATCATCGCTCCAAAGGCATGCTCGGGGAAGCCCAGACCCAGGCAGCAGGCAGCAGGGGCTGGCTGTGGGCTGCTGGCGCACATGCCCTGCTTTGACCCGGAGGGCAGGTGTCCAAGGGGCAGAGCAAGGGGAGTTGGCCAGTAGTTGGGGGAGGGGAGCCCGTGTCAACTGGGCAAAGCCCACACATGCAGCAAACCCATGCTGCAGTTGGCAGACAACACCACCCTGCCTGCACCCCACTCCGCCTGCCCCCATCTGCTGCCCACAGAACCACCTGGCTCCGTGGAACTCTGCACCTCCTCACCACCAACATGCCCCGAAACCCAGGGCGTCCGGCGGGCAGGCAGCACTGTTCACCGACAGATCACTTTTTGCATGCTAATTTTTGAGATCATCAAGTATGTTTTTCTCCCTGCGTTTTCCCCTCTCCCCGCTGAAGCAAGTGGCTTATGTGCTCCCGCAAGGGCCTCAGATGAGGTTGCGGGCAGGGCAGGGGGCAGAAGCTGCCACTAGACACTTCTCTTCCTCTGCTTTGTTTCCAAAAGTCTGCACTGTTGAGGATCTCCTGCTGGAGGCCTGGGGGCGGGGTGGGGGCAAGGAATGCCAGGAGGGAGGGCTTCCCCAGACTCAGAAGAGGTTCCTAGAGCCTGGGAAGGGGTCAGAAGTCAGTGAGTTCTGGAGCAGCAGAGACCTCTGCCCAGCAGTTGACAGTTATGACCAGAGAAAAGAGCAGCCACAAGCTCCCCCAGATCCCTCAAAGACTTTCAGAGCTACAAAGTCAGTAGTTCTGAAAGAACTGAGGCCCCAGGACCCTTGCACTACCCTGGGAATCCTATGATTGTCTGATGTTGAATTTCCTGCCAGCCAGGTGGGATGCGGGCTCAGAGTCAAAAGTGAGTAGATACCCGGAGAGTAGGAGGGGATGAAGGGATCTACCCTGCCCCTCACTCCTCACCCCTGCCCAGCCTCATGGGTACTTCTGACGATGGCTCCTTTGCTAGCTAGTGGCCAAGCCCAACAGAGCCACACCCAGCACTTCCAATATCGCATCTGTCAGGCACCCAAGAGGAGTCACTTCCGTCCTCAACTGCCCAGACTCTCCTCCCTCTCAAGTCAGGGGGGCTGGGGCCTTGCTGGGGAGTCTTTCAGGTTCAAAAGAACTGTGGAGGCTGTTATGGACTGACTTGTGTCCCCCCAGAATTCATCTGTTGAAGCTCTACCCCCCCATTGTGACTGTATGTGGAGAGGGGGCCTTTAGGGAAGTGATTAAGGTGAAATGGGGTCATAAGGGTGAGGCCCTAATCTGACGGGACTGGTGTCTTTATAAGAGACAGGGACCCCAGAGATCTCTCCCTGTGCACACAGAGAAAAGGCCACATGAGGACACATGCAAGGAGGCGGCCATCTGCAAGCCAGGAAGAGAGGCCTCGCCAAAACCTGCCCTGCCAGCACCTTGATTTTGGACTTCCAGCCTCCAGAACTGGGAGAAATAAATTTCTGTTGTTTGAGCCATTCAGTCTGTGGTCTTTGGTTACAGCAGCCTGAGCGGACCCGGGTTTCCCTCACCCCAGGAGAGAGCCAATGGACGAGACAGCCCCATGTGCCCAGCCCAGGCCCTGCAAGGCAGCGACAACTGGTGCCCACGCCATGCCCAATTCTTCATCCAATTCTCCAGCCATGCAGGAAGCAGTGGCCACTCCAGGTCAGAACTCACCATCACTTCCACCCTACCCCACTCAGGGCATCCCAAACTGACTCCATAGGGGAGGGGCCCAGCTGGCCTACAACCATACACACCACAGCCAGGGCTCTGCCTGGGACCCACAAAGCTGTTGCTGAGGGTGGGGGCAGGAGGGAGGTTATGAGGAGGCAGAATCCCATACTCACAGCACTCGTAGCTGCTTGAGCCCCGCAAAGTCATTCTTATGGATCCGAGTGATGTTGTTGCCATTGAGCTCCCTGGTGGAGGAAAGCAGAGAAGGAGATGGTGAGAGGCCCGGGGTGGGCCCCCAGGCCAGCGGCTCAGCTCCAGGCTCCCTCTCCACCTGGCTCAAGCCAGTCATCTCACCAACGGGGCTGCAAGCCTCCCAGCCAAGCCCTGGACCCCCAAGTCTGTGTCAAGACCCAATAAGCCGAGGCGTCTTTGCAGCAGATGTCCACCAGCAAGAACTCACAGGGCATGGATTCACTGCTGGGAAAGCTGTGGAAACCTGAAATACGGCTTTGCCCTAAAAGAGCTCAGTCTTGTTGGAGAGATAAGACATTCACACAGGAAAGAATTTGGAAACTAGCCAATTGGAGAGGCTATTCAGGTGGAATCCTCACTGAGCCTCAGTTTCCTCATCTATATAATGGGAGTAATAACTGTGTCTACTTCATACGGTTAGTATGAGGCATCAACAAGTAAGGAGCAGGGCCTGCGCTCGGAAAAGCCCCCCTTGGAGTTACACATGCTATCATCTGGTGCCACTGGTGCCAACGAGCTGTCCGTATCCTGAGCAGGAGAGAACAGGGAGGGCCATGCCATTTCAGGGAACTGAGGAAGTGGGACTCAAGCTGAGGCCCAAAAGACAAGGCAGATCTGCAGCAAGTGGCATGGAGCAGACGATCCAGGGAAGGAGAACCCCCCGGAGGATGGGGTCGGGGGAGACAAGCTGACCGTCAGAAGTCATGGTAAACAGGGTTGGGGAAGGTGGGTCCAGATCACAGAGGGCCTGAGAAAGCAAGCGAGGAGAGGCAGGGAGCCAGTGAGGCCTTCGGCAGGAGCCTGCCATGAGGTCAGTCCTGCAGGGGGCAGCAGGGCAGAGCCGAGGAGGGGAGGCCGAGCCCACTGTCCACATCCAACCCAGAGCCAGGCCTACAACTACAGTGGCTCCTCCCCTCACACCACCCCGGCCTCTGGCCCTTCCTCCCTTCCAAGGCCACATGTGCTTCTCCCTCAGCCCTCCCAATCATCCCTGGGCACCGTAGACGTGGACACCACCTTAGAAAGACACCATCCTAGAGGGTGTCTGGCCCCCGCTCCCTGCCTAGCCTCTCAGGCAAGCTCCCTCAGCCTCTACGGGGCAGCTCCTCCTCACAGGGGGCCAGCGCAGCCTCAGAAAGGCAGGCCACACCAGGAGGCAGGCACTCCATCCCCAGAAAGTTTCTCCGTTGAGCCACACATGGCAGAATCTCACTCGGGCCCAGCTCCAAACTCAGCTGTCACCACCGCATCCAACCTGTCTCCATGTAGCAGTTCCGCGTTCACAGCCACACGGCCTCCTCCTCTTTCTCACCACTGTCACAGTCACCCGAGTGTTTGGCAACAACCTAAGTGCTCCCATCCCAACACACACACACACACACACACACACACACCATGTTCAACTGCAGCCCAGTCTCCTCACTGACCAACTTGGGTCAAAGGTTCCAGGTACAGGCACCAGCCAGACCCAAGTCCAAGTTACTTTGAAAAACAGCAAGTTCCCTTTCCTAAAAGTGTTTCAGAAGCGTGTTTGGCCTGATGATGCTCTTGAGTTGCTTCCACCAAGAACAACTTGTTGTCAGTTTTCACACACTCTGGGAACTGGGCTTTGTGTCCGTCCTCGAGAGACGCTGGAAAGTAGTTACTGTGCCCACCTTACAGACGAGGAAAGAGTGGTTGGACAAGGTTAGACGCCTTCCTGGGGTCACCAGTCAGTAAATGACAGAGCAGGGATCTGGACCGTGGCCGTCTGATCCCTCTTCCACCAGGCCAGGCTGTCTCCCCAAGTTGACAATAATCCATTCAACTCTCTCTCTGCCCTTCCTCTGGGCCTGGCTTCTGATCCTCAGAGCAGCTGGGAAAACTCACTCCCTGCTCCCCATCTCTTTCCTAACAGGATCTCTCAGAGGGGCCTGAGGTCGCCCCAAGGTAACAGGGCATTGGTGACAGCCCCAGACTGAACCACTTCCCGGTCTAAACGCTGTGAGGACGCCTTCTCCGCGTAGACAGGCCCCTTTCAAGTAAAGGTCTTTTTTTGTTGAACTATTCTTCCCTGCAGCAGCCACCTCTGAGCCTCGCTCGTGTTGCACCCCAATGTGCTCCTTGTGCAACACGACCGCTCTTCAAACACTGAGAACGTCAACACGAAGCCCCTAAAACTGGTTCCTCCGCGAGCAGGGCTGGTTTCCCTTGGGCTATCCTACTGAAATTTTCATCCCAAAACTAAAGCCCCAAGGAAACCTCGGTTGTCTTATTTTTTCATTACTGTCATGTGTTGCTTAATGACGGGGACACATTCTGATAAACATATCGTTAGGCGATTTCCTCACTGTGCGAACGTCATGGGGGCACTAACACAAACCCGGATGGCACAGCCTGCTACACACTTACGCTATATGGCGCTCATCTGAAGAGACCACCATCCTATATGCGGTCCATTGTTGACCAAAACGTTGTTATGCAGCATATGACTGTATAAAGATACGTCAGCACTGATTATAAGAGCAAAAACGTTAAATGGACATCAACAGAGCATTGACTTTCAGCACATCCATGAAACTGAACACATGCAGCCATTTGAAATCATCCGTTTGTCTTGACAAGGAAAGCTGTTCAAGACACAGGATGTGGGAAAAGGGTCGAAAGACAGCTCGTATTCTATGAGCCCGCTTATGTGAAAACTCACACGCACATCCACACAGGTACATGAGCAGAAAGAGCTCACTACGGCTGTTCGATGAATGTTAATGCCTGTAACTGCTGAGTGGTGGGACTTGAAGTGATTTTAGTTTCTTTTTGATACTTTTCTGCATTGTTTGAATTTTTGTGTATGAGTGAGGAAGATTCACCCTGAGCTAACATTCACTGCCAATCTTCCTCTTTTTTTTTTTTTCGCTTGAGGAAGATTAGCCCTGAGCTAACCTCTGTGCCAGTCTTCTTCCACGTCGTATGTGAGTTGCTGCCTCAGCATGGCTGACGAGTGGGATAGGTCCTGCCCAGGATCTGAAGCCGTGAGCCCCAGCCACTGAAGCAGAGAGCGCCAAACTTCACTACGCCACAGGGCCGGCCCTTGTTTGAATTGTTTTTTTATGGACATCTATATTTTTATAAGCCAACATAATATTCAAGTTATTGATTTAGAAATAAAAGTAATATATGCACATTATTGAATTTTTTCAGTTTCCCGAAGAATAAAGAAAAAAAAATCACACATAAACTCATGATCAGAAGGAACCCTCGTTAATATTCTGGAATATTTTCTCTCAAGCCTCTTTCCTTTAGATACAATTTTTATATAGTTGGGATAATTCAACAAATATTTATTGAAGACTTACTATTTGCAAAGCATTTTGCAAGGTTCTGAAGATCCGAGGCTGAATGAGACATAAATGGCATGCTCTCCTTCTAGAATGTGACAGCCTGTTTGCTCTCCACCCAGGATTCTGACTGGCCAGCTACGGGGGCAGTCCCCAGTTCCCTGCTGCTGGAAGAGCTGGGCTGTTTTGATACTGTTCATTTATAAACAGTACTCCATAAAGCTTGGTGGGCATGTGGGGGGCATACGTTCCTAGAAACGGAATGACTCAGTCAGAGGTCACAAAAAATCTGATGAATTTTACAATCGTTCACTCATGCCTTCTCATGGTAAACATGGTTTACAAGGCAATTGACTCCAATTATCCATTTCACAGACAGCAAAACTGAGGCAAAGACAAACATGAAGACTTGTCTGGACAAGGCAGGGCCCAATGTGGAAGTCGGGAATCCCTTAGGATGGAATTCCCACAGGGTGGGGAGGGGTGGGTGGAGGGCTCACATTTACCTGCCTCTCTTCTTACCCTTGTGCAGCAGGCTCCACTGTGCAGACTCCAGGACATTCCTTAGCCCGTCCTCAGTCGATTCCAACCCCTCCTCCTCGATTCCCACACCCCACCCCACCCCTGCTCAAGACAAGACCCGGGACAGGCAGGAAGAAGAGAACGATGGTGCAGGCACTGGAGCAGACACAGCCTCTCTCTTTCCGTAGGCCCTGCTGGTGGCTTCCAGGCAAGAATGTCCATGGAGGCCCAAGCCCCACCAGCCCCCAGCCTCCCCCATCAGCCCTGCTCTCTAAGCCCGGAGCTAAGTGCCTCCTCTGGGGGAGAGCCCTCAAGAAGGCAGCCTGGGAGGCAGAGGCAGCCCTCATCAGGCGCCCGGGTCTGAGGCTGCAGTTTAAGGAGGCATTATCGCCACTCAGGCCGAGAGAATGACCTCCTGTGGGTAGCCGGCCCCCTCCCCCTCAGCAGGGCGGCCCACTAGGATGGAGTGTCCAACCTGGCCCAGCCACTTCCCTCCGAACCCTCACCGGAGGCTGCTGGAACGAGGCACGGAAGTCATTTTTCTCCAGCACCTGTTTCCTCCAACAGGTAGTCCCCGAGTGTTGCCATGGAGACCCCCCTGCCCAGCAAGCCACCTGGGATAAATGGCAGAAGCTGCTTCCACCTTAAGACCTTTGCAGCTGGAGCAGCCAAGCGGGGTGGGCCTTCTGGGGCAGTTCCCAGCCTCCGTTTCTCAGGAAGAACCCAGGATACAGAGCTACCCTGGCCTCCCTGAGGCTCTTGCCACCAAAGCCCACATCCACCACTTCTCCTTATTGAGCACCTACTGTGTGCAGGCTCCAAGCCTAACTCCCAGCATGCTTCATCTCATTTCACCCTCCCAGCAACCTATGAAGTGAGTCACATTCTCCCCACCTTGCTGATGAGGAAACCAAGGCACAGACTGGTGAAGCAATTTGTCCAATGCCACACAGCTAATAAGTGGTGGGGGGGGGACGAGACCAGGCCATGTGATTCCACGTTCTTTCCCCTACATCACAAAGCCTCATGTCGCTGGACCCTGTCGAGTGCACCCCTCACCCTGAGGGTCATGCCTTGGACAGAGCTGAGGAACAACCTGGATGCTCTGGATAGGACACAGTGGGGCACCAAGAGCAGTGCTTGGCACACATAAG